TTTCTTCACTACTTATTTCATGGGGCTCATTCTCGCATATGGTCTCTGTTTCCACAAGACAACACAAAAGGCGGACATTCAAGTCCCAAGCAGGATTCCAGCCAATAATCTCAAAGTTCGAGTGGTCTAACAACAACGTCTTAGATTTTAAATCACTGTGATCTACCGATCGTTGAATTTAGCGATTCGAAATTGAATGTCCTGCGAACGGAAAGAAGCGGTGTAATGCATGGAATTTCTGCTGCATGATTGTAGGTACAGGGTAGAGCCAGCGCAATTCCGACTGCAGCCNATGAATTTCTGCTGTATCACAGAGGTCAAATGCTTATTGACTTTTGTGAACGAAATGGATTGATTGTTACCAACACTTNGATTTGTTTTATTGCTATGGGGTGGGACTAAGTCCCTTGTACTGCGGCCACTTCTGGCCTATTGTACCACCCCAGATGATAGGTGAGGGTGATTGTGGAGCAATTGGTGGAATGAAGATTGGCAAGGGAAACCGAAGTACTCGGAGAAAACCTGCCCCAGTGCCACTTTGTCCACCACAAATCCCACTTGACCAGACCCCGGCATCGAACCCGGGCCCCCCGCGGTGGGAAGCCAGCGACTAACCGCTTGACCTATGGCGCGACCTTCCCTTTCAGTTAGAAAGAGATGATTTATTTTCAGGAACTCGTCACAGTTAATAAAGTGAAGTTTCCAGACGCCGTGACGAAAAGCGTAATTGTTATCTTAAATAGTTACTAGAGTTAAATGCACATTGTAGCATAATACATTTTTATTCCTACAAATTAATGGTAATGATATGAAAGAACTACCTTATTGCAGGGAGCTGAGTCTTTTTTGAGAAGCCGCTAGTTGCTCAGTTGCTAAAGAATTTCCCAACATTTTATGGAACCCGAGCTTCATTACCTTTTTCACAAGAGCTCTGGGCTGGTCCCTATCCTGAACCAGATTGTTCCAGTCCCTAACACTCCATCCCATTGCTCTAAGATCCTTTTTAATATCATCCTCCCGCATATGTCTAGGTCTTCCCAGTGGTCTCTTTCCTTCTATCATTCCCACCAAAATTCTGTATGCATTCATCTTCTGCCACATCCATGCTACATTCCTGCTCCGATATGAAAAGAACATTAAAAGAAATTAATATTGATTTCACGAATCCCAAAAAGAAAAAAAAGAGAAGTATTTGTAAAATATACTGTCCCTTTATTCCTACCGACCCAGGAAGCCGCCTGATTTGCGCTTTTCCCGGGCTGAAGCCACCGGAGAGTGACACGGCCGCTCACTCCATCTAGTGTCGAGGTTAAGAATGCATGGAGCTATACCTTCAATACTCCCCACGTCTTCATGGCGTAGTACTTAATTAAGTATCGGACTACTTTATTTTACTTTATCTCAGGGCTGTCGAGCTTTAGACCACCGAGTGGTCACCTACCCGCAAATAACTTTATACAGAGTGTAACTGACAGGTGCGAATGACCCTTGGGCAAGAGTTCCACATACGAAAACAAGAAGCAAGGAATTCAAACTCACATTGCGACAGACGATCAGTCAGTCAGTAAGTCTTGGTGTCGAGCCCCGTCTGGGGCTCATGACCAGATATTTATTACTGATTGACAGTTACAGTCTTGTAAGATTTGAGGCTTTCACGGCGGTGACTATGAAGAAAGCAGTCTTCTGGGATTTTGCACCGTGTATAGGTGGTGTTAACCGACGTTTCGGAGGAACGTATCGCCCCCATCTTCAGNCGCGACCATATTTTACCCTCTCAGATTTGAGACTTCCCTTTTTGTCGCCTCCTACGACTCTCAGGGTCATGGTGGAGATATTCGACCCCGCCTCCACACGGGTAAAGAAACAAGAATTTCTGGGAAGAACTAATAGCCTACGTTCCTTTGATAGGACGGATCGCATAGAAAACGACGCGTCCAACAATTTCTCTGTTCTTACATGTGTGTTCGTTGCCGCAGTAACATTTATACTGAGCCGTTACCTAGCAATGATAGGTAAAAACATGTATGAATATAGATAGACTGATGGGAGAGATTTATGAAATACGCCGTTGAGATTGACTCAGGAACCACGATATTATACATACCAAGTGCCATAAAGATTCGTTCAGCCATTAAAAATTGACGGAGGGTGGGGATACACAGACACACAGAGAGCATGATGATCTCATAAGCCTACTTTAATTTTTCATAATAAGGAAATTAGACTAGAAATGTCAGTATCAACGTGTGTCCGGAAACATTTAATCTGAACGTTAGAGTTGAAAGAGTTCATTTATAATAAATGTTCATCATGTTCTCCATGAGAATCAGCGCACCCCTCGATAGTCTCATCATGGATCGCCGCATCCGCTCGAAGATCTCGAGGCAGTTGCGGATAGTCTGACAGGTATCCGCAGTGCAATGGTGAAGTGCCTGTTCACTGTCAAAAGGAGCTGCACACATGGGCTTTAAATGTCCCTACAGGTAAAATTCCAGAGGATTCAAGTCAGGTGAACGTGGAGGCTATACAGTGGGGCCTTCTCTACCTATCCATCGGCCATGATAACGAGAACATCTCGCACAGCACGGAGCACCCTCATGCGTGTACCACACGCGTGCTCTGGCTTCCAGTTTGTACACCTTCCAGTAGCTTTGCCAGATCTTGTAGGAGGAAACGTCTGCAGTGCTTGCCTGTAAACCGATGTGGCAAAACATGCAGGCCTACTAAACAGTCACCAACAATTCCTGCTTATGCATTAATGCTAATGTTGGTTGTGAATGTTAATGATGCAGTCTGTACCGAAACGTGCCTCAATTGTAAAGAGCTCCGATGAAACAAAGGAATGTTCAGCACTTCATTGAACAAATCACTGACAGAAGTTCTCTCGCGCTGGAAAATCAGCAGGCATGAGACCTTGCACTCGTGAATGGTAAGGGCAAAGCAACTGCTCATGCAGTACCTTCGAAATGGGCTTGCGCGAAACATTCAACTCTTCCCACATTTGTCTTATGCTGACACCAGCGTCCACATCAACATGGAGGACGTTATGAGCACTTAATATAAATATACTCTTTGAGCTATAATTAAAAACTTAAATGTTTCTGGACACATTTTAATATGGGCATTTTTTCTTGATTTGGAATGTGGAGCTCGCGCCCAAAGTTTGTATGCACCTTTCAGTTAAAATCTATATATTATGTTAATAAAATAACATGTTTCTAATTTGTGTAGTGAGGCAACGCCATCGTGCTGAGCGAGTAACGAGGCCATAAAACAGTGTTGCCAGGTGGTCGCCCCTTAAAAATCAGCCAACGAAATTTTTCTGGATTTTATCGCTAGCGGTGGCGTAGTTGATTGAGGGGCTATGCTACAAGCCGGAAGGTCGCGGGTTCAAGTCCCGATAAGGTCATTGGATTTTTTCAGTTGACCTAATCCTTCCAGCCACACTGTGGCCCTGGGGTTGACTCAGACTCTAGCAGAAATGAGTACCAGGAATTAATTAAATAATTTTCCTGGGGAGTAAAGCGCGGCCGGCTCGTAAGGCTGACAACCTTACCGCCATCTTTGAGCCGATTGTCTAGATAATGTGGGACCCTCAACGTTTCACAACCCTATGGGCCTTCACGGACTGTTACAGGGATAGCTTTATTTTTATCGCTATTGCATACGATCAAAAGGCCATGTTAATTCCACACACTGTTGTAAGTTTTTTATTAGGTATTGTTTGAAATCAAATGAAAAGTTGCGCCTAAATAATTTTCGTAAAGTATTTTCTGTATTATTTTCAATTTCCTTTAAAGAGGACAGCGTTGACATGTACAGGATAGTCTCGCGGGTCTCGCAAAACTGACAGGTTGCACACTGCTCGCGTGAGCCAATTGGACAGCCCTGCTTTACCTTTACATTTATTCTGTTTATTATATATTTATATTCTGTATATTATATATATTCTGTCGCAGAGTGAGAGAAATCCATAAAGATAAAAAAAAAAAAGGAAAAGCTATCCATTTTTTTTTTGCTAGTGGGATGAGACTAAGTCCCTTGTACTGCGGCCACTTGTGGCCTATTGTTACCAGCCTCAGATGATAGGTGAGGGTGATTGTGGAGCAATTGGTGGAATGAAGATTGGCAGAAGAAACCCAAGTACTCGGAGAAAACCTGCCCCAGCGCCACTTTGTCCACTACAAATTCCACTTAACCAGACACGGGATCGAACCCGGGCCGCCGCGGTAGGAAGCCAGCGACTGGCCGCTTGAGCTATGGCGCGGCCTTAAGCTATCCCTTTAACAGGCCATGAAGGTCCATAGGGTTGTGAGACGTCGAAGTTCCCACATTTTCTCTAGACAATCGGCTCATAGTTGACGGTGAGTTTGTCGGCCTTACGCGCCGGCCGCCCTTTACCGTCCCCAGGAAGATTCCTCATACTCATTCATGTTAGAGGATGTGTCGACCCCAGGGCCATAGTGCTGCTGGAAGGATTAGATCAATCATCGGGACTCGAACCCGCGACCTTCCGGCTTGTAGCATAGTGCCTCAATCAGCTACGCTACCGCGTGCCCCCCTCCCGAGAAATTCATACCCACATAAAACAAGACATTATTGTAGTTATAGTACTTTGATTATTTCAGTTTCTACAAAGAATACTCGACGGTTTCCCAAATTTCATAATAAATATCAGCTGGCACGGCATTGACCAGGGTATCCCCTAGGCTTATATTCAGGAGGTGCTCGGTTCAACTTCCGACGGGACACCGACTACGCTGGCTGAGACTTTTCGTGATTTTCTCCAGTCTGTCCAGGCAGTTGTCGGAATGATATATCGATTGTGCAGGAACTGCTTTTTTGGAAACTTTTCCAGTTCGTTATCCATCACTCGTCCTACCATTTATTGCTATCCTCCTACGGGTTCGGTTACTGACAGCGTTCTGAAATAAACCACAAGAAAGAAACACGACGGATCTCTCTCTGCTTGAGGTCTAGAGAACCGCCTAGTTTGTTACCTGGAGCTAGGACACTCCATGTGATGGTGACAGCCAACAGTAGAAAGAGCAGCACGTGACGAGTAGCGGCCTGGTCCATGTCTCCGTGACTAAGTCGTGAACACCGTTCTCGCACTATATATACAGGAATCGGCCCACGCGGTAGCCACTCTTCCTATTAAGCTGAAGTCAACAAACCCCGGGTCGTAATCACATGGTTACACGTAAAGAAGCATTGCCTTTTATAAACATTGCCAGCTACCTGTCTGGATTCAGATGTGCACAGGATCACGGAAGCTGTCTTGACATAACACACCGACAGCCCCGATTACAATTTTTTACTCTTATTGTGGCTAAATAAAACATTATGTGGTAGACGAGATAATAGGTTACAATATGCACAGAGAAACAGGAGATAGTGCTAAGATAAAGGTCAGTGAAAAACTGGATTGAATTGACTCAGGAGAGGGCAAATTGGCGGACTTTTGTTCAGACGTTTATATGTCAACCGATTCCGTAAAAACAGGGGGTTTCCAGCCGACGTGTTGATTTTTTATTTATTTAATTTTTTTTTCTGCCTCATTTGTGCTAATTCCGGTTGCTAAATCCGGTTTGGTGTAACAATATGAGAAGAATACAGTACTTTTCTATAGTCCTTTGTTACTTCAATTCCTTTAGGTCAACGTTGTTGTACCTAAACGCACTTTTACGTAGGGAGAGACTTTTCGCCGTTATAGGAGGGCTGTCGGAATAAAAACAGGATGTTGCAGAATAATTTTCACGCTAATGACAACTTGCAGCTTTATAATGAATCAGTTCTTACTGGCCAAGAAGTAATAAAGGGAGTGTATGAATGAGAGGCAATCTTTCCTCCCCCAGCAGCATAATTGGAGCAGTTCCTTGAATTAACAATTTTGGTTCCGGATGTTGAGTTTTGGATAGAGTACTACAGGAATTTAGCCTTCACCTTCTGTTGACAATGAGGATGAGCCAGTTGACATTCAGTTATGTACTCTCAGCTTATTTCGTCATAACTTGTGTAGGACGATTTCTTTTGTTCCATATTCATGTGGAGTCCGTTACTTTCAGACTGTCAGTATAAAACTAAATGCACAAGGCGGCAGGCGAGTTGCACAGAAAGAGACAGGGCTTGAAGGTTACGAAGTTTTGAGAGAACTTCAAAACGGATTTTGATTAAATTTGTTATGGGAGCCTACAGTAGAATTTGTTGGGAGAGCGTATATCATTCCAGTTTAATCTTTGCTTTACGTGAAGTTCAAAATAGTCTTATTCTTTCAGCAACATCAGATCGTACCTAAAAATGAAAACATGAAAATATAAGAATACCGTCTTCTGGGATATGGCGCCGTGTAGATATTGTATAAACAGACGTTTCAGAGGAAAGTATCGCCTCCATCTTCAGAGTAGGTGAAAAGAGAAAATAGAAATCCGCGAGCGAGGAACCAGCGTGAGCAGGTGGCTGCAGCAAATATCTACACGGAGCCACACTGATTTTTCTTTCTTCTACCCTGAAGATGGAGGCAATATATTCCTCCGAAACTTCGTCTTATACTATATATACACGGCGACACATCCCAGAAGACGGCATTCTTCACAGTCACCTCCGTGAAAACCTCAAATCTTACATGAAAATATAAATATCATTAAGAGATTTTAGTTTTGTTTTAAACCTCTTTGCTAGGATGAGAACTGACAATAAATAAAATATAAGATGAATAACTGTTGACCCCGTGCAGTGTGGTATGTGCAGCGCGACTACCGTTGTAGTATTAGATTGGTATCTACAAGGAAAGAAATCAAAAGTATGCATGCAGAATAAGAACAGGTTTGGCAGGCATTGCTTTCTTATCCCTCTGTTAAGGCAGAAGCTTACTGGCAGACAGGTTACCGTTTCCAATCATATCTTGGTTCTTCCTAGCAGCGAACCCAGTCTTTATATCTAATCAGTGCATTACATACCAGAAAAGGGGGGAGGGGGAATTTGGCGTTTCTTGTAGACGCTACAGTTTAGGAAGGCTTCAGTGTTGCTGAAACCTTGATTTTAACTGTGATGTAAGCCGTGGGGATTAGTTACGCTGACCACCCGACACCCTCTGTCCGCTAAAGTTGGCACTAACTTCGCCGACAAGCGGCGGTCGCTCGGTCGATATAGTTCGCTTGCGGACTAAAGCAACGGAGTTTGCTTGTTTGTTGTTTATGTACATGTTAAGATTATGAATTGACGCTAGATTGAAAGAAGAGTATAGAGAATGGTTATACCACATTTTACTGCTCCACACTATAATCTCCATGAACTGAGGAAAGTTCCGAAGTATCGCAGCCATGACAATCGTTATCGGAAGAGATTGAAGTAGATAACTATTGAAAATGAGAAAAGACATCCTCTACTGAACTGACCTTGGGATTAACATAGTATTGGTTCAGGAAATTTAAAACGTAACTTCTGTGCCTTCTATACAAACAATAATTTAATTGGATTGTCTTCTTTCGCTTGGTGCTGTGATTATAAGCCGGTTAGGAAGTGGGGATTTGGTGAGATTTTAATTAAGGTGGCAATGAAAGATATTATTTTAGACCAGCAATTCTCAACTTCGTCATTACAGGAAACCTTTGGAACAGGAGCACACTACTGTATTTTAATCGGGGTAGCGTAGTTGGTTGAGGCACTATGCTACAAACCCGAAGGCCGCCGGTTCGAGTCCCAATTAGGTGTATTTCTCAGTTGACCTAATCCTTCTAGTCGCATTATGACCCTGTGGTCGACTCAGCCTTTAACAGAAATGAGTACCAGGAATCTTCCTGGGTGGTTAAAGGGCGGTCGGCACATAAGGCTGACAACTTTACCGCCATGTGTGAGCTGATTGTCTAGAAAATATGGGAGCCTCTACGTCTCACAACCCTATGGTCCTTCACGACCTGTTACAGGGATAGTTTTAACTTTTTCTCTTGTTAGATGGGTCTACTTCGAAGTGACTACGGACTAAAGAGACCCGAGAGAACAATTATATGGTTCAAAAAGTGTTCAATATCTGCCAGCATCGAACACTGGGATCGTTGGTTCAAATCCCACTCGAGGCATGGATGTTCGGTGTGTATGCGTTTGTTCTGTGTTTAGGTATTGGCTTTCCGACGAGCTTATCACGCTTCCAAGGAGTCCTATAAAATAAAAGGAAACTACGTGGCTTTAGTCCGCAAGCGAACTATACCGATCGAGCGACCGCCGCTTGTCGGCAAAGTTAATGCCAACTTTAGCTGATAGAGGGTGTCGCGTGGTCAGCGTAACAGATCCCCACGGCCGTTAATCTCGGTTCTCTAGACCAGAGTCGCCATTTCCTTGAAATAGCTCCTCAGTTATCCTCATGAGGCTGAGTGGACCCCGTTCCAGACCCACTGCTTCTCAGAACATCTGGTAACGCCGGGAATCGAACCCTGATCTCTGTATCTGTAGCTAGGAAATCTTACCACTAGACCACAGAGGCGGTCCCAAGGAGTCCTACCGCCTGTGAAAAATGATTACGGAACTGAATAAGAGGCCAGCGCCCTGAATTGACTGGAAGAGCCATTGGGAGGGGAAAAAATTGCAGTACTTTCTATGTCTGATTACAGTTGCGAGATCTGAGGCACCTTATGTTTTCAATCATCCGAAAGCCGTGGCCATGTGTTCGATTCCCACCGGGGTCGTGATATAAATCCTTTGTAGATGGAGGCCTTGCGATGGACCGATCCTCCGTCCAAGGAGTCCTACTGAAAGGCTAAAAAGATTCACAATTTCAAATATTATTTCTGAATTAGTAAGAGTCAGAGGTTTTAATCCGCGAAGCTAGAGAAGCAGAAGTCCGCGAGCGAACTATACTGACCGAGCGACCGCCGCTTGTCGGCGAAGATAGTGCCAGCTTTAGCGGATAGATGGTGTCGCATGGTCAGCGCAACGAATCCCCACGGCCGTTAAATTCGGTTTTCTAGACCGGAGCCGCTACTTTTCCATTCACGTAGCTCCTAATTATCCTCGCGAGTCTGAGTGAACCCCGTTCCAGACCCACTACTTCTCAGAAAATCTGGTAGCGCCGGGAATCGAACCCGGGACCTCTGGATCTGTAGCCAGTAACTCTGACCACTAGACCACAGACCGTATGAATGCACGAAAAATTAAAAAATAATAAATAATTTCGAAAGTCGTACTTGGCGCTTAGGTCATATCATCTTCATCTGGTTGAACTCTGTATTTACGAATCAACGCTATTGATTCCTTACGGTGTTTTCACGATATATTTTAACAATATAAGCATAGTCGAGAAACTGATATATACCATTCAACTCAATCGTCCCCAGATTTTCATGGACTTTTCTGATGGTATATTTTAAAGAAAAGTTGAAGGGCAGTTGTGTCAAAGCATGTCCTTGTTTCCGACCAAAATGAATAGGACAAATGTTTCATTTATACGGACTTTGCTGTTAGCTTCGTTTAGCACATATTAATTCATCTAACTGGTTTCATGCGTATACAACATTCAGTACGAACATTGTGCTATATTTGTTTCCTGAGTCACGGGCTTTCTCGAATTCTGTATGAATATGCAGTGCGCCTCTAAACATGTAACAGCAAATGTACGTGTACATCAGGTTGGCAGAATTATTAATAGACTATTAAGTAAACACTTTTCAAATATGTACTTTAATTGTGTGACTTTAAGGTTCTCACATCGGCGACTATGAAGACTGTCATCTGGGATGGGACACTGTGTAGCGCAGAAGTTTACCGAAGTTTCGGAGGAACGTAATGCCTCCATTTTTTGGATTCAAGAGTAAGACAAGCAAGCATCAAGCTTGTTTTTAGAGTGTTGCTTGGCTTATTCTTCAACATTCCGCATAAATATCTGTAAATTTCTATCAAACAAGATGGATTCACATTTCAGAATATATTATTCTTCAAACATTAATATTGTAACGTGTTTGCGTTACTGATCCCACTTCTGACACCAGTGTAACGTGTTTCGTTACTGAAGACGCCGTAGAGATGGTTAATTGGTTTATTTAACGATCTACAAATAACGGCTACAATTAATTATCTCACAGTTGCGGG